AGGAATGACTCACTGATATGATTTTTATTGTGTAAGGAAGCATTACTCAGGTCTCTCACTGAGAAAGGAAACAACGTTGTGATCTACAAGCTGGAAAAGCAATCATCTGAAGGTACGAGCCAATAACACAAAGTGTCATGAGTGGATGACCTAAGGTTTGACCTCAGTGTTTTTATTAGACATCCAGACACAAGCCCAGAAGAAACAATAGAGATGTTTGTCTTTGTTACAATAGAGGCTGCTGTCTTACAGTCACACCATTACAGCTAATAACTTCAGTTTTGCGTTTACAAGACTTCAGTTTAGATTTGGCCAGAAGTCATTCTGCTCTATACAACAATGACTAATTAAAAATCATAACATATAATGACAAAAAAGTTTGTACAGAGGAAAAAATATTCAAACAGACCACTTAAACATATCTGCATGTACATAAATATAAAATATGGCTGATTGCAGCAATCAGTAGATACAAATATGTACATTACCGTTCAAAAGTTTGTAGTCAGAAGTAAGAAAGTATAAAAGGATGTATTAAATTGATAAAGTAAAAACATTTAGAGACATCACAGTAAAGGCGGCGTTTATCATTTTACAAAAGATTTCTATTTCAAATAAATGTTGCCCAGTTTTCACAAAAATATTAAGCAGCACAAGTGTTAACAACACTGATAATGATAACGAAATGTTTCTGAAGCACCAAATCAGCCTATTAGAATGATTTCTGAAGGATCATGTGACACTAAAGACTAGAGTAATGATGCTGAAAATTCAGCTTTGAAATCACAGGAATAAATTACATTTTAAAATTTATTAAAATAGAAAACAGTTATTTTAAATTGTAACAATATTTCACATTATTATTAAATCAAATAAATTCAGCCTGGCTGAGTATAAGAGACTTGCCAAGAAAATTAGCCCAAACTTTTGAACGGTAGTGTATTCAAACTATATTATCAATAAAAGAAATGTACAGAAAAGTGTCTCATGAATCCCAAACAAAGCTGCATGTTTGTTAACATGTGGGTATAGGGTCATCAGTGAAGCACAGAGGAGCATTGTTTTCCTGGTGAGGTCTTTCGCTGCTGTACTATGACTAATGATCCACCAGCTGCAGCAGTGAATGGCAATAATATTCCTGGCAACACGCTGCCTCATGCATAATGCCCATAAAAGCACCCATTAGCGGCTGCAGCTGATGGCAATGAAGATCCTATGCTGTTGGCATTGATGTTTCCATACACAAAATAATGTTATTTTTAGCAGCATCATATGACCCCTTTAAGAGAAACAGCATGAGTGATATTTCATTATCATCTGCACTTGCTGATCTATGCCGTTTCCCTTACCTCCTCGAAGAGTCATGACCTACAGAAAGCATCTTTCTGTTTCTCATAACACTTAGACCTGACTGTGGAAGCTCATAAAAACTCTCCCTCAAAATAGCGCACACTTATGGTGCTAAACCACTAGGCTAGAAGTGTGCTATAAAACTTTAACTATGTGTGAACAATACCACATAAAAAGAACAATAAAGAGACAACTACTAGAAAGCAAACGATCACTATGTCTACTTCATTTATGAGGTTTGCGGTACTTTTGAAGTAGACCACATCATGTGGTGTGTTTATGGCGAGATTTTAAACCTACATAACTTGAAGGGATAGTCCATTTAAAAACTGATTGATTAATTGAAAGGCAGATTCACTGAAAAGACACTTCCATTTTTTTATGGAATTAATTATTTTGTACAGTAAGGATGCATTAAATTGATCAAAAGTGACAGTAAAGACATTTATAATGTTACAAAAGATTATATTTAAATTCTCCTTTTCAAGTGCAAATTTCCTCAGCACCAAATCAGCATTAGAATGATTTCTGAAGGATCATGTGACACTGAAGACTGCAGTAATGGCTGCTGAAAATTCAGTTTTGCCATAACAGGAATAAATTACATGTTAAAATATATTCAAACAGAAAAGTTATTTTACATTGTAATAAAATTTCACAATATTTATGTTTTACTGCATTTTTGATCAAATACAGCCTTAAGAAGCATAAGAGACGTCTTTCAAATACATAAAAAACCCTTTTTGAATGGTAGTTTTTTAGAAACAAAAGAACCAAAGCAACTTACTAGTCGTCGTCTTTCCTCCTCCACCGTGTTCAGCAGCTGGGAGAATTCCTTCAATGACTGGGCTGTGATAAGAGAGAAAGAATTTCAATCATGAATCATCAGCTCTGGATCTGTAATTACTCTATCAGCACATCTGATTTTGCCCTTTGAACCTTTGGCATAAAGGAAATACAGAAAACCTGCATATAATATTGCACAAAGGGGTAGGGCTGCACGATACATCGAAATGGAATCGAGATCGCTATTCGGCAGAAGCTGCGATTGTCATGCGTATCTTTCAGTGAAGCACTGTTCTGTGATCAGCAGTAAATCTCCATCCAAAGGCCAGAGGGTGCTACGGTGACCGAGAAGTGCTAAACAAATCACAATTCTGAAAACAAAATAACAAATTACAAACGCAAATGCAAGTCTAAAAAACAAAATAACAATTCAGAAACCACAACAACAATTCAGAAAACATTATAACAAGTCAGAAAACACAATGACAAATTCGAAAACAAAATAACAAATCAGAAAACACAATGACAAATCCGAAAACAAATTAACAAGTCAGAAAACACAACGACAAATCAGACAAACCGGAAGAGGTAGGTATAGTTTGAGACAGCGCCATTGGTTTGGGATTACTCACCGCTGAGTGGACGAGACATCTGTCAATCAACTTATACAGGGAAGAACCAGCTGAAGAA